GTCTGGGGGTGGGGGTGTGGATAAGGGTTGGGGCAGTCAGGGGACAAGAGGCAGGGAGGCTTAGATAGGGAGTGGAGTCCTGGGGCGCAGTTAGGGGCAGGGGTCCCCAGGAGGGGGCAGTCAGGGGACAAGGAACGGGGGGAGGGTTGGGGGTTCTGGGGGGGCGGGAAGTGGGAGGGGCAGGGGCGGGGCTAGGGCGGGGCTCCTCCCGTCCTCTTTTTTGCTTGCTGAAATATGGTAACCCTATGTTTTCCCACCCAAAACCCAAGATGACTGTGGTTCTAATCACTTTGAGACATCAGGATCACCAAGGAGATGAAACCTCATTAATGGAGACTGGGAGCATGTGACATTCAGACTCATTACCAATTCTGGTTCAGTTTTTTTAGTAATTAGAGATCTCAATTATAAGCAAGCTTTACTGGTATTTGTGAATTGATTAGTGGTACAGAGCATAACAGGGCACCAAAGTCACATGGGGGTGAATGAATAAACCTGTTTTGTAGAAGGTTTAACAAACAAAGTGATACAAATCCCAGAAGCCACTAGGGTTTCAATATGGGCTGGGATTTCAGCCCTGAAGCCCTGAGGACTGCACTGGTTGGGCAGAGCTGGTCTAAGCACCCAGGGCAAACCCCCTGAGATGCCGGGAGGCCATAAGTCTGGTTTGAAGCTGCACAGTCCCAGTGTTGTGGAGCACTATCCCTGTCCGGTAGGGACCCAGCACTGGACGTGGCTTTGTCTGGTGCAAAAGGGAGAGGAGGCGACTGAAGATGCAGGAGGACACTGGTGGGAGTGGGGGTGACAACTTCATACAGAATGATGCACGTGGGTGGCACACTGAAAAAAGCAGTGATGGGGCCCACACAGGGTGACTGATACTGGTGAGGACGGGCCCATGGAGGCAGGCGTGGGCATGTCTGATGTTCTGGGGATGCCTCAGTGACCACCCTAATTAGACATGATTCAGATTTGTATAAAGAACGGGTTGGGGTTTGCCCTACTACTGTCCTAAAGCCTTTCTCTGGAAATGCCCCCTGGGCAGATTCCGCACAGTTCCATTCCCTGGTAAAGATACTGGAAGCAGTGAATTCTGGGAGATTTCAAAAGGCTGCAGGCGGGACTAATGGAACCACTTTGGCTGGTACACAACAGAACAGGTCAAACTGGCATGGGTCAGCTCCAGCCTGTGGTTGGTTTTGCTACAACCCAGTCTAATCCCAGTGGTACTTGGCATGGACCTGAGCTGTCTGGAGCCCTTTTGTGTGCGGACTGAAGGTGCTCAGGGTCCCACAAACTGTTTAGCCCAGTGATCTCCTCTACTGCAGACCGGCAGCATCTGAGTTTAATCCCACGGGAGTTAAGAATCCCAGTGAGAAACCTCCTCTTCCTGGTGGGCCTGGGACTTTTGTCAACGTGTCTCTCCCTCCTAATGTAAACACTTCATCACTGGGTGGGGCTGATATTCAGCTGTCAGCATGGCAAAGTGGTTCGGGTCTTGGACTGGGTCTGGGGAGATCTGGGTTCTATGCTAAGCTCTGTCACTGACATGCTGGGTGACTGTGGGCAACTTGCTGTCCTGTTTTATGCCTTAGTTTCCCTTCCCATCTTTTATCTAGCTAGACCAGTGGTCACCTACCAGTTGATTGCGATCTACTAGTCGATCCTGGAGATTCTCCCAGTCGATCGCGATCTCCGGCGGTGCAGCAGGGTTGCCCGCCGCTGCTAAGGCAGGCTCCCTGCCTGCCCCAGCCGTACGGCACTCCCAGAAGTGGCCAGCATGCCCCCTCAGCCTGGGGTGAGGCCAGGGTTCTCTTCACGTTGCTCCTGCCTGCAAGCACCACCCCTGCAGCTCCCATTGGCCGGAAATTGGGAACTGTGAGAGTGGTTCCTGCAGAGAGGGGCAATGCGGAGAGCCACATGCCCACCACAGGGGCTCATTGGCACATTCCAGGAGTGGCATAGGGTTGGGACAGGCAGGGAGCCTGCCTTAGCACCGCTGCACTGCCGCCTGTGAACCGCCCAAGGTAAGTCAGTGCCGCACCCTAACCTGCTGCCCCAGGCCTGACCCTCCTCCCAGAGCCAGCACCCTGTACCCTTTTTTGCACCCCAACACTCTGCCCCAGCCCAGAGCCCCCTCCTGCACCTCAACCCCCTGCCCCAAGATCAGCCCAGAGCCCCCTCCCAGACTGCAAACTCCCCACACCCCAACCTGAATCCCAACCTCCTGCCACAGACTGGTGAAAGTGAGTGAGGGTGGGGGAGAGCAAGCAATGGAGCGGGAGTATGGAGTGAGTGGGGCTTCCGGGGGGTGTAGATCCTGCTTTCAAGATTTGATATTTTGCCTCTGTTGCCACTCTGCCAGATCATTAATTTTCTTAAGACTTTACAGAGCTGAGTGATGAGTCACACCCGTGACAGGCAACTTTCAGTGAAATTAGCCTGTAATTAAAACCCAAAAGTTAACCCATTACATTTGACAGCAGTTCCCTACCTTGTACTCCTGGGCAGCCTCCTCTATGGGAACCACCGAGTGAGCGCGGTGAGCCCGGGATCTGTCGCACACCACACAGATGGGGGTTTGATCCTCTTCACAGAACAGTTTCAGAGTCTCCTGGTGTTCCCCACACACCCCGTCCGCTCCTGCTCCCTTTGCTGCTTGTAAACTCAGCCGCCTGGTGATTTCTGTGACATTTGCCAGCTGCCTGTTGGGCCTGAGGTTTCTCTGCTGCACAGTTTCTCTGCACTGAGGGCAGGAGGCGGCTGTATCGGATCCCTCCCAGCACTGGCTGATGCAGGCTCGGCAGAAATTGTGCCCACACTCCAGAATGACAGGTTCTGTGAAATACTCCAGACAGACGGGACATGTAGCTTCCTCCTGGAGACTTTCCACGGGGTTCTCTGCAGCCATGGCTCGCTCTGGGCAGTGGAACAGGGTTAGTTTCAATTTCCTGAATTCACACTATGCCCCTCCTGCAGCAGCAAGGGGGTGTTTCCTTTCCTGAAACTGACTCCTGTTGTTTGCTGAGCAGGAATGACCCAACCAATTTCACTCCTTGAGGCTTTAGTGAAAAAATGTACAGTTACACCTGTGACAGGTAACTTTCAGTGAAATTAGCCTGTAATTAAAACCCAAAGGAGCTCCTTGCCTGCAATCAGCCCCTGTGCTGGTGTAGAGGGTCACTGAGGCATCCTCCTTTGAGGATGAGCCTGCAGGAGCTGTGTGTTTAAGGCGGAATAGTCAGGCTTGGCAGAATTTTTTTTATAATATATAATTTTGACAGATAATGTTTATTTTAAGCAATTTTTATATTTATTGATTTAAACTTTCACAGTTGCAGAGCAATCTGGGTTTTAAGCATTTCATTCCAATTAAAATTTTCACGGTTGTGGGAAATTATGGGGGATCAGCCAATATTTTGGTCAGACCAGAACTGCACTGTTACCTTGATATAACGCCACCGGCTATAAAACGAATTTGGATATAACGTGGTAAAGCCGTGCTCCGGGGGGGGGGGGCTGCACACTCCAGTGGATCGAAGAAAGTTCAATATAACGTGGTTTCACCAATACCGCGGTAAGATTTTTTGGCTCCCAAGGACAGCGTTATATCGGGGTAGAGGTATATTTAATGACACTAGACACTGATATTCAAAAAGTTGAAGCTTTAGAACTGTTAAAATTGTTTGTGAACAAGTAAATCTCCTCCCTCCCCCAGCAGCTCCCCCAGGCAATAACCCAATGCCTCCCCCACCACCAGGGGCGGCTCTAGGCACCAACTAAACAAGCAGGTGCCTAGGGTGGCAAAATGTATGGGGCGGCAAAACACTGGGGCCCCACCTCAAGCAGCGTCCTGGGCTGGATCCTGACCGCCCCTGGGGGCGGTCAGGAGCCTGTTCTGCCGCAGGGTGCGGCGAGGCAGGGAGCCGACTAAGTGGGGAGCGTGTCCCCGCTGCTCTCCCGCGGGCAGCGATCAACCCCCCAGGCGGGAGCCGATAGCACGGCCCTGCCCCGGCTGCAGAGGACAGACATCTCCTCCTCAGCTCATCCCCACCCCTGCAAGCGGAGGAGCGGCCCGTCCTCTGCAGCCGGGGCAGGGCCGTGCTATGAGCTCCACCCTGGGGGGGTGGTCGGTGCCCGCGGGGGGGCAAGGGGGGGAC